GTGCGGATGTGCTAGTGCGGATCAAGCGTTGTCCATCCCCAAGATGGAGGCGCGTGGTAAGTCCTTTTTTTGCAATGTCTTTGACCTAGTTAATTCTTATTCCGTGTAACGTCTCATTCTTTGCGGGATTTATGAAGGTGATGTGCTTGACCGTCAAGTTGGCTGTAGCCGCGCTGGTGGCGTCTGTGAAGCTCACTGGCGTAACCAACACTTGCTATGCAAGTTACCCGCGATGCGAGGTCCTCCATAATAATTGCGCATGATTTATGCGAAAGGTGAAACGTTTTCTCTTGTTTTCAACATGTAATAAAGTGGCACAGGTGCGTTTGATGTGTTGGTTTGCCGGTGTAAATTAGGACATTCGGTGTGTTGGCATGGATGATCGGGTGGTCGTGTGCCCCCGTGAGGTAACGCGAGAACAATCATGTCCCCACCCTCCTACCGCGTCTGGATGTAATTAAGTTGTGTCTATCTTCTATCTGTCAATCTATCTATCTATCTCTTGTGTATTGTATTGTGCCTATACATAGACATACTGCCTATATACATATATATATATATAATATATATATATATATACATATATATATATATATATATATATATATATATATATATATATATATATGTATATATATTTCGAGAAGGAATATATATTTAGAATATATATATATATATATATATATATATACGTATGCCAGCTAGGTTTATGTATGCATATATACAAATGTAACCGGTATTCAATATGCGCCGAAGGCTTCCTTCTCGAAATGCACTTGCCACTAATCCTGGATCCTTTTCCTTTCCAGACCGCAGCCAAAACACTGGCACGATGTAAAACGTCGCATCGGATTCTTCCGGTGAAAGAGACTGGCGGAATCCTCTTGTCTGTCTTTACATAAATGATGTCCTGAAACCGTTGCCCTGCGTTTGTGCTCAATGATTACATCCCTCTTTATATTCGTCCCTGATAACTTGAGTACAGACGAAAAATGGGCAAGTGGCTGACTAATGCCATCATTCATTCATCAGGCACCAAGTGTCCAACGAGACAGCACGCTTCAGTTGGAGAGCACTGAATAATCGGCACGTTGCCAATATGACGTTCTCTCTTGGAAGATAAAAGCCTTAGTTGAATTCGACAGATTCTAAATAATCGGTACTCTCTCAATACATCCCTTCTTCAAACAAAGATCTAGATGCATGCTCACGTCATATCTAACTTCAGAACTAAATGATAAACAAATTACTTTCTGGTTATGTACGTAGGTCCCAGTCAGGAATATCTTAAGATTTCAGTTCTGCTCTGTTCAGAGCAATTATCAACAGCCTTGCGTGGTTGGCTGAGTTGCCCGCAATTCGCAATCCAGTTGTGAGTTTCTGATTCCTGCACAATTCCTATTGTCACTTGTCATGCACTTAACCAGCTTAACGTAACTTAGAGTAGCCCATATGTTGAAAGTCATCTCAACTCACCTATCTGCGGACAGCAGCAGTTATGATAAAAACAGGATAAAGCTTATTTTTTGGTTGGTTTTAACTTGCATTTTCTTCAGTTCACTTGTGTACGCTTGTTGACATAAGACAAAGTTGACGGCACACAAATGAAAACACTTTAAATCACTTTGAACAACTTATTCTGATTGCCATGTCTGACCTCTGTCAAGGGCAATAATGGGTATGCTCCACAAAATAATCCCTCTTCTCCAAAAGTAACATAACTTTTAGATGACCATGCCAGTTTTGCTGCTTGCTTTTTCAGCTGCAGCAAAGGCATCTATTGAGGCTTGTTAACTCATATTTAATGACATACTTTGGGATGTTGGCTTCATATTTTTAATGGAATGGTCTGACTATTTGCTTAATGCCGATATTTGCATCATATTATAACTGCTATGCAGCTTAAAGCATTCCAGTGCTTAAAATATAGTGCATATATACAGTAGAGTCATTTGCCAGTCAGCAAACCATGACAACTCGGGAAACCATCTGGTTAAAGCAACCATGTCGGACCACTTCAAGGAATTTGGGACAAATAATCAAAAATGTGGAACAAAATAAGCCCATTGCATGCCTTGTGTCATCACAATTTGTCTTAACAAAATTCGATGGATTAAAGCAGCAAATGGCTAACTACGGTTAGAAATCGTGTGTTGAAAGCAGGTGAGATAAGCAATTACTGGGTCCACAGGAGACTTACTGGCTTTTTCAGGGCACACTTCTTCCTGGTCCCCAAAACAAAAAGTCAGTACCACAGTTCGCACAGTTTTCTGACAGGCAGAGGCATCCATTTCACCCCCCAAATATCAATAGCAATCACATCCACCAACCTACGAGATTTAAATGCGAAACAAGTCAGAGGTGTGCATGGTAAACATTTCCGGAGGGCAGAATTTCGCCATACAACACTTCTGTATTAGCTGCGTCAGGTCTGTCCCAAAGCTCTATATGGTAACAAAAGGATAGCCTTGTCAGGTAGCCTGGTGAGTTAGACACTCGAAAGGCTTAGATCCATCATTATCGAGCGCCGCCATAAACCAAAAATGGCTAACCGAGGATTTAACAGGCAGAAATGGCGGTAAAAATAAGTTCCGTAGTTCACATTGTCTCCTTCATTCCCTTTGTATTCCCGCCACAATTCCCGCCAATTTATGTACAAAAGACGTGCAAATTTGCAGTTGGAGCATCTTGCACAGAAATTGGTCAACACTTCAAGCAACAGATGGAACCTCTAAAGGCAATGGGAAAGGAAGGAAGAATTAAGTGTTATCACACTCGTATGATACCGAGAAAAACAAATGTAGTTAGATAACTATAAATACTTGTACTTTATTTGAAAACTTTTGATATCAGCTGATTTGTCTTAAATCTGTTAAAATAAGTGTTCAAATTGTGATATTCATCTTGTAAATTTTAGTTAGGAGACATTTCTTGTATTTTTCACTCCTTCATTTCGGGAGTGATGCAATTTAGTCGTCAAGTTTCTTCGGGTTAAATGAATACCTGGAGCAGAATTCACTACCAGGTCTTGCTGGTGTTTGCGCCAGGCTCTGCTTTCGTGGTGTGGTGGTGAGACAACACAATTGGGGATGCGTGAAAAGCTTGCATGTAGCACACTGCCGCCGATTGTGATGCATTTTGTAAGCAAACCAAACTTGATGCGTGCAAGCGGCTGGAGTCGCTGGGGAGTCTTGGGCTTGAAGGTACCTGGCGCCCTTGCTCTGTGCATGCATAGACATGATTCAGATTTAGGTGAGGCAGGACATAGCCATAGGTGTCCAGGTTCTGTGGAGCCTTGCTTGTGCTTGGTGGTTTCAAGTGAGCTCAGTTTTGTAGGACATCTGAAAACCTCAGAAAGGGAAATATGGGTTTGGCATGTGCAATTAGACAATGTCAGGCAGGAGTGAAAAATTCACATCAATTATGGGGAAAAGGAGTGAAAAAATCCTCCTCATAGGGTGTTGCTTTACACCCAAAATCGGCACTTCTAGGACACGGCCAGCAGAACGCGAAGCCAGCTTTATCTACGATCTTCGATCGATATTCATTACAGCTTCTTGAACCACAGTTGGCCATTTAAGAATTTCGGTACAATTTGATTCAGCGGCATCATTGAACCTGGTATGTAAATCGAGAAAAACTGTATCGAACACAGGTCTGTAAGATGATAAAATTTCGTACTTATCTGATTATCGCCGATGTGTGGTTGATGCGTGGTTGATATAAATAATGTACTCATTTCTATTTTGTTGAATGACTGTTAATTTTGTTAGTCGCCTGTCTCGCAGGATTTAGTATGAATGCGTCAATGTGCCCACCAAGCACCCAGTCATTTCATATCTGCATGTCTTTTTCAGTGCTGCCGCCTATAGACCGCGAACTGAGGTGAAGTCTCGGCGAATTTATCAGCCGTCCATTCCTGTACTCAGCGAGTTTGTGTGGCACTTGTACTTTGCCATTTCTGATGCTTACAACTTCCAGCCAGGGGTAAAGTTTTGCCAATTGAGTTTTGGGAGGGGCAAGCAGTGAAAGCAAGACGCTACGTGCCCCCAAATAGTCAACTAAGTGGTTCTTTTTCGGATTTAACCCACGTTGTTTCCAAAGTTGTGGAATCACAAGTGGGGTCGAGTGGGGTGGGAGCTAAATCACACCCAACTGAATGGAAAGCTACACCCCTGCTGGGAAACGCACATGGTAAGTCATGCCAACCGAATGCAATCTTCCACTACGTTGGCCCGGGATGGTGAATTGGGCACCAGAAGTACGCGCTTTGCCCGGCAGATGGCGGTGTGAAGTGGAAATTTGAAGTTTCACGATATTTTTAAAAGGGCTGTCACTTATCGTGCTTTTTGTCTTGCATGATAACTTGAAACGCGAAAAGAGCATGGGCTATTCGCTGGCGTGTGGCATTAGCTACTGGGCCACCGAGGAGGCATCTGTTTACTGGTTCAAGGATATTGCGATTGCACGAGATGGCGTCGTGGGTCGTTTCTTTCGTAATCTTTCGTAATCTTTCTTCAGCGAATTTTGTGAATGTTCTTGAGCCGTAGTTAAACGTGTAACATGACATACATGAAGTTTAATCTATATCAGGGGCAAAATATCTAAAGAACGGCAAGTGCTGGGTGTGAACACATGAACAGTGTGTTGTGTGGTAAGTGCTGTGGTAAGTCGCAGAAACATTGTACTATGAAAAATGTGACTGGCATATAACATCGAACACTCTCAATCTCTTGCTTCATCCTGCATCCTCACGACATCCCGCCTGTCCGGGGCAGACTGCGGGCGCCAGCCACGAGTGGGCCAAGAGGCCACCCGGAGGGGACCTCGACCGGACGCCCGGCGCATACGCCGCAGAGGGATCCCTGCGCGAGCTAAGGTTCGGTGGTTGGCCCCAGGCGCGTGTATCCTGCCCCACCGTTGTCCATTCTCTTTCATTCCATAGCCCTGAAAAGATTGTTACTGCTGGAAATGACTAATCCAACAACCAACCTGGCATTACTCATACCTGGCCCAGAGGATCACGGAGGCGGTTCCCCCAAGACGAAGCCCTTCCATTGCGCTGGGGTTAGATTGGTCCATACGATTACCCTAAATGTGGGTAGCTCTGTAGTACAATTGTTGATAGCGAGATAGTTTTTGTTTGCGGTTCAATCCCAGAAATTGTTGTGGGACGGTGGGTGGGAAGCTAGTAAGGTGTTTTTGGAACGAAAAGGGTGTCAAGACGTTATTGGTACGTCCCCTGGCCATACCCGGGGACAAAACAGCTGTGTATGGTCACATATTCCAACACAAGCCGGATCACTGTACCATGCCTCGCATCCAATAAAGTTGGCCTTTACCACAATTTAGAGTGATCATCATCCTTACTGCCAAATGTTGTTTCGGACATGCGGTCCAGATGCGGGCTGTTTTGAGCCGGCGACAAGTATAAACGAAGTCAGCTGAATGCAAATGACATAACTGGGTGTGCAACCAATACGAGGTTGATAGCAGTTGTTTTTTTTTTAACACAGTGATGCTCTAAGCTGCATAGCAATTATAATATGAGTTGAATATTGGTATGTAACAAATAGTCAGACCACCCCATTTAAAATGCAAAGCCAGCATCTTAAACTTTGTCATTAAGTATGAATAAGCAAGCCCAAATGAATGTATTTGCTTCAGCTGAAAAGGCAAGCAGCAATACTGGCATGGTGATCCAAAAGCCACGTTATTTTTTTTTTAAAGAGAGATTGTTTTGTGGAGTATACCCACTATTACCCTTGACATAGGTTAACCATGACAATCAAAATAAGCTTTTCAAAGTGATTTAAAGTGTTTTGATTTGTGCGTTGCCAACTTTGTCTGACGTCAACAAGCATACACGTATGAACTGCAAGTTGAAACGAGCCAAAAACTAGCTTTAAATATCATGTTTTTATCATAAGTGCTGCTGTCAACAGATAGGTGAGTTGAGATGATGTTCATCATATGGGCTACTCTAAGTTAGGTAAGTTAGTCAAGTGCATGGCAAGTGGCGATAGTGATTGTGCAAGAATCGGTGACCCACAACTGCTGCTGTGATACAAACAGGTTATACAGAATGACATGATGTAAGGCCTCTTTAGGTTAGGCATGGGCTACTTTCATGGAAACAAGCATTGGTATTTTGTAAGAAGCAGTGATGAAATGTTTGTTTTCTCTGACCCCATATTAACAGAAACCAGAAGTATGTCTATTGTGTGTGACCTGGTCATGGGCTGATGTGTAGGGGGCCAAGGTTTTTATGTTTGAATGTTTTATGCTTGTTGAACTTTCTGTTGTTATTTTGTCATTGAATTCCTTTGCTTTGTTTTGTTTTGAGAGTGCTGTTGAAGGGAACTGAAAAGTGCAGCGTCAAATTATTGGTGTTTATAATTTGTTATGCTCATAATACTGTCATGAAATTGCGATGCTTTAACACGCGCCCGGTTGGCCTGCTAGATACCCTTCGCTCGGGTGGGGGAGGGTTCAATTTGACGCCCCCCCCCCTCTAGATCTCGGAAACTAAGAAAGCTAGATACACCAAACTTACAGGGTGTCTTGATCTATACGTGAACTTACTTAGGTTAAGGTTTCAGCTTCCTAGGGAATGACCTTCAGGTCAAAAAAGGTCAAACAAGGTCAAATTCCAGGTTGGCCTCCAAAGCGCCCCGAGAACCTAGGCAACTGTTTCTAAGCAAAACGTCATGAGCTCATTTGGGGTCATTGACCTTGTATGACCCTTTGAAGGTAATGGTGACCAAAGTGATACAAAACTGCTCTGCGTTTTGCATTTGAATAAGCGACAAAGATTACGCTAGGCAGTATGTTCCTAAAACAAAACGTCCGAACCGGGTCATCTTAGGTCAACGGCCTGTTCTGACTTCTAAGAAGTCAATTGAAGATGTATAATGCGGTTCCTGCCGTCAGTAAATTCAAAATGAGCACCAGAAGCTATTCCATACAGCAAGTCCCAGAGAAATAAATCAGGTTGGTTTTGACCTTGGTCTGACCAGCATACCTGAGCTAAGATCAACGTAATTTGCTCATTCAATATTTGTGGTGCCTAAGAAAGTATGTTAATGTATTCCGTTCCACTTTAATGGCCTAAGATGTTAAAAGCGAAATAGTTTTGTCAGGTTCCTGAGGTTACGTCCATGCCAACTTGAAACAGATGTCTTTGTTTGCTGAGGCATCAGTCACGAGCTCATAAGTTTCATCTTTTGTGAATTGATTTTTTCACTTCCGCACGGTCTTTTTGCGATGGAATTTTTCACTCCCACCCTAGTTCAATAGCGATTCTAGCTCCCTGAACCTAAGCGTGAGCACTTTCGGGTTGTGCGGCACTCGTCGTAAACGGGGCATTTTTCTTTATTTCTAGGCCATAGGTCAAAGAAGAACGAACGCCACTGTCTGCAAAAAAGGTACGGCACCCAAAGAACGGATACTCTTTCGAAAGTCATAAAAAAGAAGACGCGACGGAAATCCGTCTTTTTCCCTGTGCTGGCGTTTTTTTCTTCTACTGACGTATCTCTTACAGACAGCTCGGTTGGCGCCTTGTGCACCGGAGCACAGAACCTTGCACGGGTTTATGGGTTAGCAAGGCAATTTGAAGTAAGGGAAACGTTACAGTTATTTTAGAGAGAGAGAGAGAGAGAGAGAGAGAGAGAGAGAGAGAAGAGAGAGAGAGAAGAGAGAGAGAGACAGAGACAGAGACAGAGACAAGACAGAGACAGAGACAGAGACAGAGAAGAGACAGAGACAGACAGACAGATACAGAGACAAGATAGACAGAGACAGAGACAGAGACAGAGACGAGACAGAGACAGAGACAAGACGAGACGAGACAGAGACAGAGACAGAGACAGAGACGAGACAGATACAGAACAGAGACAGAGACGAGACAGAGACAGAGACAGAGACAGAGACAGAGACAAGAGACAGAACAGAGACAGAGACAGAGACAGAGACAGAGACAGAGACAAGAGACAGAGACAGAGACAGAGACAGAGACGAGACAGACAGACAAGACAGAGACAGAGACAGAGGTATATATATATATATATATATATATATATATATATATTTCACTTAATATTTCACACATATTGTACCACAAATTTAAACCTTGAACAAAAATTGTATTCTACGAGTGCAACCTCTTGAGCCGCATTACCATGAAGCCCCGCTGGGCCTTTGTTTTCAAGGGAGGTCACGGTGAAATGCGGTGTCATGACTGAAAATCTGTGCGGAAATTGCGAGAAAACCTGCAATTTTGTAGTTTCGCCAGCTGCGCAAGTGTGAGACCACACTTATTTGACAAAAGGGTGTGAATCGGGGGATTGAAATGTGTGTGATCACTGATGGTGTATGCCAGTGGCTGATATTGATCTTGATGTGATGGGTAGTGTGCGTGCGAGGTTGGTATTTCTGAGAGAGAACATTGTTTTGGCGTTCTTTAAGTCTACTGATTTCCACTAAACCGTGATTATTGATACCTGTGTTGTTGTGACTGTGATATTACTGTGCGATAAACTGTGATATTATTGATACCTGTGTGGTTGATGCCTGTGATACCTTTATGTTTGTGTTTCAATGTGACCAAGGAACTCTGGCGAACTAAGAAAAGTACTAGCACTTATCTTACAGGCGTGTACAAAGGCAAGATGGTACTCCATTTGATTTTGTCAACATTTTGAACCTATGGAGGTATTGCAGCATGTAATTAATCCATGGTGTGGCATTATATCAGCAATTCATTTTGGCAGTAGGGGCTGGTGCGTGCAGCTCATTAATGCACATGCTCAGTATCGGCTCATAGTATATGGCTTTGCAAATTTTCTTTCTCTAAATAATTCTGAAAATATGGGGTTGTAGTATTACTGATGCACATTGTGCTGTCTTCACTAATTTTGTATGCAGGCGAGCATTGATCGTGAGTCATTAATGCCATAATCACCGTAACTTGCGTTAGATGCTGGGTGCTGAGAAAGATAGAGAGGTATTGCTGTTGGTGTTTTGGATAACACTAATAATACTTTCATCATGATCCTTGTGTGCACTGGCGGCTTCATCACTTCCTTGCATTTTGCCCATCCAACCATAACTACATGCACTTATCATGTTTCCAGCCTTGTGTAAAGTCAGCATGTTAACAGCGTTATTTCACCACATGTAAAATTTTCCCGTTATTTTTTAGTAAACAACCCTGATGGCTGTCGCATGTTGCATGACTGTGGAAGTGGAAGATGTTTTTGCATTTTTCTCACCTACGTTTTGTTGATTCCCAAAACAAGCTGAGCAAGTGATGCCACTTCTAGGTGGTCTGCTGTGCTGAAAGTAATTTATACATTGCATCCTGTGTTTTTGGTCAGCCATATGTCAGATCGGGAGTAAATACAAGGGAGGACACTACCCATATTTTCATGATGGAATTTATTATGAAAGCAGCATGGATTGCAGTACAAAACCCAGCTCATTGTTCATTATGCCATGCCACAGTACAGCACTGAGGTATTGCCACAGCTGTTGACCCGTGACATAATACAATGTGCCACATTGGTTGACTACTCTATGTCAAGCCTATGATACAGCAGCTTATAACTTATAAATGACTGGTAACAACTGATTTAGTAATGTCAAAGCACTATCGACAGCAAGAATGCCATTGCGGCACAATGATTTTATTAGGGTTAACTATTAATTGCATAAATAATCCTAATAAAAACATTCATGGTAGCCCAACCTTGCCATCTTTACCATAGCAATAGCAATGCTTTGGCAATTACTTCATAGCACCGTTACAAAGTTACAAATTTTTGCATGTCACCGCATTTCAAGGTATCAACAATAAAGAAAGTAACTACTGTGCCCATCACACCACATCAATGCCAGGACTATAGCACTGCAGGCAACGATGGGTCGACAATAAAGTATTGACAAAATCATCAACAGCATAACAGCAACAGCAGCATCGCAGCATGTCGTGCTTTCATGTTGACAATCTGCCATGAAAGCTGGCGATTGCTACGGTGCGTATGTCAAACAGTCCAACAAAACTTACGGCCAAAAGCAAGCCAAAAGATACACAGACAAACCACCCTATAACCCGCCTCCCAACACAGCCCCCGCGGCGACAATGGCCGGTTGGCGTCAG